TTGTCAGCTCCACCAAAGAGACATTTATCCTCTAAACTCTCAAGGTTTGATAGAAATAACTGTTTGAGGCCCAAAGAGGTCAAATTATTCAATATTTCACAAAACAGCAAAGTCTAAAAAATTCAAAAGCGATTTGTGTATCAGAGACTTCCTTCCTCTTCCATCAGTCATCTCACTATCAGAAATAATATAATAAGTCCATCTGACACTTCAGCTCTAGCAGCATTAAATCTGTCTTCTAATCTGGGTACGTTATCTAATAAAGTTAACGAAGCGGCAGAGACCTGAGTGTACAGTTGGACTCTGTGTCTTTTGATGCTCAGGTGACTAAAGTGGTGCAGTCCTGCTTTGTCCAACTGAGACATTTAACTAAGATCAGGTCGTTCCTTCACAGATTTAGAAACAGTCATCAATGCTTTTATCTCTTTCAGACTTGAAACAAAACGCTGCACGATCTAAGAGAAGCGACCACATCACACAGACCTGCCCTTCACTGGTTACCTGTCAGAGTTAGAACTTTAAGATTTTACTGCTCGTCTGACATCAGAAACCAGTATTTTGTGTTGTGTTTATATTGATGCAAAATGAAAAGTTTCAAACATTTTATTTTTTAAATTAATGTGAAAATACAAAAATCTAAAACAATAAAGAACAAAAAGATGAACAAAACTTACAGAATGACATGCAGGATGTATTTTATTCAATTTTACAATAAATTAAAATGTAAAATTTTACATCTTGAATAAATTGCATCATGTTGTTGGCTGGAGCCAATCCCAGCTGACATCGGGCGAAAGGCGGGGTACACCCTGGACAGGTCGCCAGTCCATCGCAGGGCCACACATAGACAAACAACCACTCACACTCACACTCACACCTAAGGACAATTTAGGGTCACCAATCAACCTAGCCTGCATGTCTTTGGATGGTGGGAGGAAGCCGGAGCACCCGGAGAGAACCCACGCGGACACGGGGAGAACATGCAAACTCCACACAGAAAGGCCGGGGCAACCGGGGTTTGAACCCACGACCTTCTTGCTGTGAGTCAACAACCACTGCCCCACCACACCGCCCTTAATTTAATTCAATTCAGTTTTATTTATATAGCGCCAAATCACAACAACAGTTATCTCACAGCGCTTTTCATAAAAGAGCAGGTCTAGACCGTACTCTATGATGCTATTTACAGAAGCCCAACAGTTCGCACCAAGAGCAGCACTAGGAGACAGAGGCAAGGAAAAACTTCCTTTTAAGAGGCAGAAACCTCGAGCAGAACCATGACTCAGGGTGGGCGGCCATCTGCCTCGACCGGTTGGGGTGAGAGAGAGAGAGAGAGAGAGAGAGAGAGAGAGAGAGAGGGGAGGGAGGCAGCCTACACAATATACACACAGAGGTACAGACAGTAAAGGTGATGTTGCTATAGACTGAATGAAAAATGGTACAGATATTTATAGTAGTGTTAATGATAAAAGTCGTAATGTTAATGATTATAATAACAATAATAACAATAGGACTAGTAAAATAGTCGTTGTAGCAGAGGGTGTCGATCAGGAACACGGGGACAGCAGGTGACCCGCAGCCACAGATCCAGACTCCACAGCTCCAGAGCCAGAAAACCTGCAGGAAGTGATAAGAGGAGAGAGGAGAGGGACGAGAAAGCACAAGACTACCGGAAAGGGGAGAAGTTGTGTTATGCAATAATGGGATGAGGTTGCATACAGAGGGAGAGAAAGTAGAGGAGAGAGGAGCTCAGTGCATCATGGGAAATCCCCCGGCAGTCTAGGCCTATAGCAGCATAACTAAGGGATGGTTCAGGACTACCTGAGCCAGCCCTAACTATAAGCTTTATCAAAGAGGAAAGTCTTAAGCCTACTCTTAAATGTGGAGATGGTGTCTGCCTCCTGAACCCAAACTGGAACCTGGTTCCACAGGAGAAGAGCTTGATAGCTGAACGCTCTGGCTCCTAGTCTACTTTTGGAGACTCTAGGAACCGCAGGTGCATTCTGGGAGCGCAGTGCTCTGGTGGGGTAGTAAGGTACTATGAGCTCTTTAAGATAAGATGGTGCCTGACCATTAAGAGCTTTGTAGGTAAGAAGAATGATTTTAAATTCTATTCTGGATTTTACTGGAAGCCAATGCAAAGAAGCTAAAACAGGAGAAATGTGATCTCTTTTCCTGGTTCCTGTCAGAACACGTGCTGCAGCATTCTGGATCAGCTGAAGAGTCTTAATGGACTTTTTCGAGCAGCCTGATAATAAGGAATTGCAGTAATCCAGCCTAGAAGTAACAAATGCATGGACTAGTTTTTCTGCATCATTTTTAGACAGGATGTTCCTGATTTTTGCAATATTACGTAGGTGAAAAAAGGCTTGAAATTTGCTTAATGTGAGACTTAAACGACATCTCTTGATCAAAGATAACGTCTCGGGTTACGTATGTAACCCTTGTTCCCCGAGAAGGGAAATGAGAAACTTCTCATGAGTTCCCTTCTCGGGGAACAAGGGTTACATACGTAACCCGAGACGTTCCCCTTCGAGGGAACTCGAACTGCGTCAGTGATGACACTATGGGAATGAGATACCCACTATGCCACCCCGAAAGCCTTCGCCTGCCCCAGCATGCAGTAACCTGTAGGCACGACTAAGAGGAGAGCGTTCGGGTCCCGGGGCGCAGAAGGAAGGTCCAGACTGTAAAATTGGATGAACATGTGCAGAGTGGCCAAGCCAGCTGCCTCACACACCTCCCGAAGAGAAGCCCCTGAGAGGAGGCGCCCTAGAGGCCGCCATGCCTCTAGTAGAGCGTGCCCTCACAGCCATAGGTGAAGGCAAACCGCGCACCTGATAGGTCAGGGAAATTATCCAGTTGCTGATAGTGTAGCCCGGACAGGGGTGCAGGACAGCCTTGACCTTCCCCGGGGCAAACTCCAGGCATTGAGGAGACACCTAGAGTGCCTGGAGATCCCCCACCCTCCTCAGAGAGGTGGTAGCTAGGAGAAAGGCCATCTTAAGGGTCATGTGCTTAGCCTCAGCCGACTCCAGGGGTTCGAAGGGGGCCTCCGCCAACGCTTCGAGAACCACTGTCAGGTCCCAGGTGGGAATCCTGGAGCAAGTCACGGGTCTCATCCTCCGGGATCCATGGAGGAAGCGCACGACCAGCGGGAGCCTCCCCAAAGACCCCTCCCTCAGAGGACCGTGGAAGATTATGTCCGAGAACCACACTCGGGCCGGCCAAAACAGGGCTACTAACAGTAGACTGACACCGTCCTGACGGACCCGCTCCAGAACGCATAGGTCTGCCATGGTGCAGAAGCTGCGAGCCCCATGACCAAAGCCGCCGCGCCGCCTCAGCGACCGCAGGACCCGAGCCACGGGGAGAGGGCATCCGGCCGTCTTCGGAGAAAAGAACCGCACGAGACCTCAGCCTCCTCAGGGCCACGTCTGCACCATGGCAACTTTGTTGCTTGTTTGGTAGAGCTTCGTTCTACCAAACATATCAGAGCGCCTGCTGATAAGAAAAAAGCTGGTTTGGCCTGTGTGCCGGCGTTCTTTATACGCCTCCAGTTAAGCCATCCCACGCTACCGTTCGAGCAACGCCAATAGGATTGGAGTAGTTTCATTCATAATTCAGCCACTGACGCAGTTCAAGTTCCCTCAAAGGGGAACTCCAAAATTCCTCACAGTGGTGCTGGAGGCCAGGGCGATGCCATCAAGGTAAACTATATCTTTAGATAATGCGTCACGGAGGTGCTTAGGCCCCAGAACAATAACTTCAGTTTTATCTGAGTTTAACATTGGAAATTACAGGTCATCCAGGTTTTAACATCCTGAAGGCACATTTGAAGTTTTGCTGATTAGTTTCATCTGGCTTGATCGATAGATATAACAGATCAGCAGTTTAAATGATCTTCATGCTGTTTAATGTTTCATATTTGCTGTGATATTTGTGATTTGCAGAGAAAACAGGGTGAATGACATCTAAACATTTCATTTCACTTCCAGCACAAACATCATGTTCTTTCTCATATTCAAAAGAAAACAAAGATCATCTGTAATGAGCGAGCAGAGCTTCAGCTGCTGAAGTCTTTCTTTACTAAGCTGCTGTCTGTTTTTATCAGCAAATGATTACACAAACTATTAGGACAAAAGAAAAGAAAAGGCAATTATTCCCAACAAAAGTTTTAACAGAAGAAAAGAAAACCAACAGAGCAGAAAGATTTTCTACAGACTGAAAAGGTGCAGGCTGAAACAGCAGCCCACTCTTTTTTACAACCCTCAACTTATTAGAGGTGAAAAAGTGAAAACAAATGACTCTAATATCTCTAATATATATTATATAAACTTTACAGAAAACACAGTGAATGTGTGTGCAAAAACTGTGAAATACTTTGGCAACACCGCAAACTTTGCTAAACATCTGAGATCAAGTCAAAATAATATTTTGATGTTATGAAGCGGCAGTTCTGAGCAGGATATTTTTATTATACTTAAAGAATATGACAGGGAGATCGCATTAAACTAGAAATAAAATATGTAAAAAGTATTGGTATCAGCATCAACAGCCTGGGTATTTCTTGCTATTTGATAGTGTAGGAAATAAGTGGTCTCGCACAACACAATTTACGAGCAGCCTGCTTCTTTCCTCTGCTCTCTGTCAGTGGATGACTCAGATATTCCATTAAAATAAAATATAAAACGTAAAAAATAAACAGCGATGTGGAGCAGCGTATAAAGGCTGTACTCAAGTAATAAGCTTTTTAATATTGGACAAAACTACATTACATTTATTCACTTAGCTGATGCTTTTATCCAAAGCGACTTACAATATTTATTTATTTATTTATATTTAAGTACTTATTTTCTCTTCTTTGACTTTTTTAAAAGTAAATTATTCTCCCACATCAGTGCTAAATCTCAATAAATATGATCAATGATGAATCTGCTGAATTTTCTGGTGAGCAAAACTGTTCACAGAAAGAACAGTTTGTATTTATTTCTCTTTTAAATTTCACCATGTAGTGATTAACAGGGTAATATGTGTGAGCTCAAGTCTCTTAATTGCATCCACGTTCCCTTCACATGCGTCTTAAGCGAGTCTTACGGTTAGTCCCGCTTTTACCATCAAATATATAAATAGACAATGCTGCTTTTGACAGGAAGTATGCAGGAGACTGACGTGTTGTATCATGTTGTTTTAATAATTTAATTATTACTGCAAAGTAGTAAGCACCCTTCCAGAAACGCTGAAAAGGTGCCACTAGTCGTTTGAATGGGAAGCATTTGAAGCGCTGATGATGTCGGCCTTGGATAGCCAGGCTCCTTGCCCTGTGGTGCGGATGAAGGCGATGGCGTGATCGATCGTAGGCTGAGATCACCGGGGAATATGAATAGCTGAACGCAGCAGACGTTTCAGACAAAGCTGTTAGGGAGAAGGCGAAGACTATCTGATGTTAGATGAGCAACATGAAAAGATTTAATTAGAACAAATATTTGGGTTTTTTTATTGTAACAGCAGTTTGGAAAATTTTGTCTCACAGTGACTTTCGCTATGTTTTATTTGAATATCATCACCATTCACTCCTTAAAAGTTATAATCAGAATCAGTCTGAGATCAGCTGTGTGGTCAGTCCAACATGATAAGCCTTAATCTGTGAGGCTAGACTAAATAACAGAAACACTATTGTTTAATTCATTACGGTTTAGGTCTTTTCACACGGGAAGCGATGTTGTGGAAATAGTATCTTGCTGGTGAGTGATGGAGCAAATAATTGAGTTACAACAAACTGTTGTCTTTGAAGAATTTATTTAACAAAAGTGAATAAACATAGAAGTACTAAAACACATATACAGCTGCTCCAGAGACCTGCTGGGAAGCATAATCATTTACACAGTCTACGTTTCTATGTTTTGGGGAACAGAGATACTTTTCCGGCCTTGAACGAACATTCAAGGAGAGGGGAGGAACAACAAGAGGGGAAAACACTAAAACAATCTCACAGCTCTGACCTAAACCCTAGTAAATGTGGACCGACTAACATAAGTAGTATAGGAGAAGGTAAGGTTAAGGACAAATAAACACAATACATATATATCTGTAAGACATAACAATAATAGTAATAATAACAGTAACAATAATAATAGTAAAAGAAAATGCTTAAAATATTAAATGTAAGAGGACACAATCATCATAACAAGTGACACTCCTCCTGCGTAGTCGCGGAGTCGCTCTCCCCTTCTCATGTTAACAGACAGTGAGACAAACGCTCTGCAAGTAAACGGTATTTCAGTGGCCATGGTATGCATCACAGTGTAGTCCACTGCCAAAACTCACAGTGAAATCTGTTTCTTGAAACCAAATGAAAACAGAAAAAAGGACAAACATCTGAAACTGTTCTGTTGATGAGATGTTTACATGAAACAAATCCTCATGAAATGGAACAGAGAGATGTGTTGTTCTGTATCAACACTGGTGTGTTGTTCGGTTTGTATTCATTAAACTCTTCAGCTTTCTTTCTGGCCTCCTCTTCATTTGTCTTCTTCAGATCCTCCATTTCTTTCTTATGTTTCTCCATAATGTCTTGTTTCTCTTTTTCCTCTTGTTCTCTTCTGATTCTGTCCTCTTCCTTTCTTTTCTTTTCATAATTTTCTCTTTCCTGTTCGTATTCTTCTTGAAGCTTTCTAAGTCTTCTGTGTTCCTCCTGTCGTCTCTGTTCTTCTTCTTCATATCGTTTTTCCCACCATTCTCTTTGTGTTTTCTCCCAGTTCTCTCGTTCTTTTCTCATCTCTTCTCTGCTCTCCTTCAGCTTTCTGTCAATGGTTTCCTTTTCCTCTGACTCTGATCTTATATTTTGCTCCAAAGATTTACATTTTCGTTTCAACTCCTGTCTTTGAATTTCTTCCTGTTGTTTTCTCTTGTCTTCTTCTTCTCTCATTTCCTGTTCTTTCTTTCTCTCCTCACATTCCTTCTTTATCTTCTCCTCCTTTTCTTTAAGTTGTTTTTCTCTCAGTTTTCTCTCTTTTTCAGTTTCTGCTCTCTGTTCTTTCATTCTTCTTTTCATCTCTTCCATTTCCTCCTCATGTTTTCTTTGAAGCTCCTCCCTCTCTCTCTTCATCTCTTCTTCCTTCTCCTTCAGGATTCTCTCCATTTCTTTCTTTATAGCTGCCTCGGCCTCTTGCAGCATCTCATTGGTGTAGCAGCTGCCTCCATTTTCCTTCACCATGGTGTCAATCTTGGTTATCAGCTCACTGACTTGTGTGCGGTTTTGTTCATCATAGTTATTAAACACATGGTATCTTCCTCCACAGTCAGAGATCAGCTTCTTAAAGGAAGCATCACATTTATTTTCAATATATTCTTCAATGGAAACTTTCTCACGCTTTAGTTTATCTCCTCCAGTTAAAAGAATGATGGTGAACTTTTCAGCATTCTTCCCAAAGGCTTTCTTGATGAGTTTTAATGTCTCCTTCTCCTCTGGTGTAAATCTGCCGATCTGTAACACCAACAGGAAGACATGTGGTCCTGGAGCCAGAAGACTGATGCATTTCACCATCTCCTCATGAACCTCTTCATGGGTCAAACTATTGTCAAACAGACCAAGGGTGTCGACCACAACGACCGGACGAACGTCCACTTCACTCTGTGCTTTCTGACAAAGTTTGGTGACTAATTTTTGACTTGATTTGTTTATAAACTCATCTCTTCCTAGAATGGTGTTTCCTGTAGAGCTCTTTCCACTTCCAGTCTTCCCTATCAGCACAATCCTGAGACTCTCTGGGCTCTGCTCCTCATCATCACCTGGGAAAGAAGAAGACCTGGAGTTACTTTAAATATTCTCAGCAGCTACAGTGAAGGTTCAAGACTGTGATGATCAACATGGTTCAGGACACAGAAAAACATTTCAATTCAAAGTACTTACAAGTGATCTTGTTCTTCTTTATTATCCTCTCTTGTTGTATGACCTTTTCCATTTGTGCACGTGCAAATGTTACAGCTGTATAGCAGGATGGTTTATTTTCAGATTGTCTCATCTTTTCCACCATGTCCAGCAGCTCTGGGATCTGCTGCTTGTCCTTGATGTTGAGAACAACATATCTTCCTCCACAGCTCTGACGGAGCTCCTGGATGTCCTTGTTTTCCTTCAGAAAGTTAACAACAGCTGGAGCTGCAGGATCTGACTCCACAGTGAACAGAATCATGGTGAAGTCATCGACTCGAGAGCTGAATGTGTTCTGGATGGTCTTTAACTCTCCCTTGTCTTCATCAGTGAGGGGACCCACAGGTAGGACCAGGATGAAGACATGGACGCCCTCAGGATCACAGAGGGAGATACACCTGAGTGATTCCTCCATCACTGCCTCCTGAGGTTTTCCATACAAGGCAGGCAGCTCCACCAGGGAAACCCAACGTCCACACACCTCTCCCTGATGTTTAACACACTCTGATGAGTTGGAGACTGAATGAAACTCTGTCTGACCTAAAATGGCCTTGGCTGTTGAAGTCTTCCCTGCTCCTCTCCTCCCACACAGAACCAGGTTTAAAGCTGGTTTGATGTGTTCAGACTTTGGTCTGATGGTCTCTTCAGTGAAGGTGAGGAAGGTTCCTCTGTTTTCAAGGACAATGTTCTCAATCTTCTCCATCAGCTGTCCATGGTCTTCTTCTACCATCCTGTAGTGTCTTCCTCCACAGTCTTTAAGCAGCTGACTGACAGAGCTACTTGTTCCATCATGTGTGCTGATGACCATTGAGTGTTTAAAAGCATCTTGACCAAACAAACTCAGGATGAACTTCAGTGTTTGTCTGTTCTCCTCAGTGAAATCAGAAGGCTTCACTAACAGCAGCAGAACATTTGGTCCAGGAGGACAAAGAGTCTCACAGCTCTTCACCTCTCTTCTCAGCTTCTCCACAGTCAGACTGAAGATGTCTGGAGTTTTCACTACTGTTAATGGTTTTCCTCTCCACTCTCCACAGGTGGCCACACTTTGCCCGGTTGGAGAAGTTTTTTGGTGATTAAAACCTTTGTCCCTGATGATGAAGTGACCAAGTTTTGTCTGATTGTTCTCACATTTTCCCAGCAGCACAATCCTCAATCCAGATGCTGTAATACAAGAGAGACAAAGTTAAAATTAAAGCTGCAAGCAGCGTTGGGCGGGCCCTCGCACTTGTAGCGCGTCGGGGTGTGAGGTAGCCGCATTGCATATTCTGGAGCTCTGCCGGTGCGGCTGTGAATTTGCTACGCGCTTCGGACGTTGCATGAAGGTATTATATGTGACTTCCTGGGTCCCCTTTGTGGCGCTACGTAGCACTTGGCGCTATGAATATAAATTAATATTGACATGCAGATGTGTTCGAGGTGGGACAGTTATCAAGCACGTAAAGTTTTGTTCAGATGTGAGCATGTACACTGTTACAACAACTTCATGTGTCGTGGTGAAGAGTTGATCTTTGACGCCATGCCACGGACACGCCCATTGACGAAAACTCACAAATAGCACAACTTTTCATCGTCAATGCCTTTAGAAGGCACAGCAGAAATTTGACGTCGATCCTACTAAATCCCTAGGAGGAGTTCGTTAAAGTACGAAGTGTGTAAATCATACAAAAATATCCGTAAAATACAAAATGGCCGACTTCCTGTTGGGTTTAGGGTATGGGTTCTTGAGGCTTTTTTGTGCGTCTTGATATGATACATGTCCCCAGAAACTTTCATGCATGTAGGTTAAACGTGGACAAGGGGCTAATTTTTCTAGGTGGCATTAGCGAGTCATTTTGCCACGCCCATGCGCGAAACCCATAAAATATGAAATTTTTCACCACTTCTGACATGTGTGCAAAGTTTGGTGAGTTTCAGAGTATGTTTGGGCCCCCAAAATTGAGCTTACTTTGCAGAAAAAAATCTCTTCAGTTTCAATAGGGACCTCGCACGGTTCGTGCTCAGGCACTAATTAAGTTGCTAGCAGCGTTGGACGTGTTCTTGCACGTTACATGCATTGGGACCGATATAAACATAACTTCCTGTGTCCCCTACATGGCGCTATAATGGCAGTAACTATAGGCCTAAGTTATGTCACGGTACGTCAAGTGTTGAACACATCATGAAACTTTCATACCAAGAGGCTGCAAGAGGCTTCTTTTTTTTTTTTACATCTGGACATGATAGATGTGCTAGAGAACTTTCATACATATAGGTGAAACATGCCACAGGGGCTGCTTCATTGAAGGTCACTTCCTGTTACCAACAGGTGGCACTATGACTATGAGTGAATATTAGCATGTAGATGTGTTCAGGGCGGGTATTTCATCATACATGTACAATTTGGTACAAATTTAATCATATGAACACTGACGTTATTCCAACTTCCTGTATAATGGTCTAAATAATGGTTCATATTCAATTTGTGACGCCACGGACACGCCCTTCTGCGAAAACTCAGTTTGTACAAGTTTTAAGACAAGTTCAGAAAAATAATTTGAGCACATTTCGTGATTTTGTGAAAGTGACATCTAGTACTCGATTTTCGCCACATTTTGCACATAGCCTTAGTAGAACATAGGGAAGTACTGACACAAATTTCATGTCAATCAGACAGACCTCTGTGGAGCTATGACATCACTTTCTGTTTTGACTGTAACCTACAGGAAGTTGTTTCTTTATAAATTGCTTATTTTTTGGACTTTCAAAAATATTTTAACAAGTTATAATCATGAGGGTCCACAGAGTCTATGTACAAAGATGCGTTTTTCCAACATAGGCGTGGTCAAGTGGCCAATTGGTGCCAAATGTTCAGGGCATGGGAATGTACCAAGCAAGTGTTCAATGCATTTTCATCTCAGAGCGTCATTACTGACGCTTTCAGGATGACAAAGCCTAATTATTTGATGCTAAAGGTACCCTTCAGCAGCCGTATGAAACGCCACAGTTTGCTACATTGCAGCCACACAAAGGAGGCTAACCCTACCTGCCAGCTGTAGGGTTAGCCGGTCGACATGGATAAAGTCAGTGACTTAGGTTTAGGCACTAACATTTCTGATGGTTATGGTATGGCTTTGAGGGGCTGTCAACACCTTTATCATGAACATAGCTAGCACTTCTGGTCTGTTCGATACGCCCCAGAGCGTATCATAGAGACGCATCCGGTAGCGTCTCATAAGCCGCGTTTCCACCAAAAGTACCCGGGACTTTAAGTCCCCGGATCTCTTTTCAAGGAAGTAAAAGGTTCCTTCAGCTCATTGTTGTGTGCGTCTCCACCGTGGTCTAAAGACCTGTGAAGATTAGGCAAATTAACCAGCTGACGTAGGCTGTAGGCCTATAGGCTGTACAGGCATCATTATTTGTAACCACTATCCATGAGCAAAATTTATAAATGAACATAAGATTTGACTGGAATATAATGAAAAAATACAGGCCATTTTGTGTGGGAGCATAATGAAGAGACACACGATAAAGTTTGTTACAAATTTAATAACAATCTGGATAAAACCATCAAGTTCTTAAAATAAGTACAGCACAAAGAAAGCAACACAAAAATAAAACCGCAAGAGTTTGGAAGGTTATTAAAACATTTCCAGCCAACAAGAGCTGCAGATCAGCCGCAGGACTCACGTCAGTGTCCGCCTGTAAACACACCGCTGCACGCTGGCTGCTGTTTCCGAGCGATAAATTTAATGCCGACATACGATCTCAGGCGGACATCAGCGAGACTTGGCTTGGCTATCTGACTGTTGATTGAGATTTATTGGTTTGCAAACAGTGGAAAAGAGAGGAGCAGTCGTAGAAAAACAGCCAACATGCTCGATTTAAAGCCAGTAACCTCTACTCGCCCATTCAGAAATTCACAGCAAGCCCCACTCCCCCAAAGTACCCCCCGAGCAGGGACTTTTTTGGGTGAGGGATAAAGACCCTAGAACTAAATTTAGACCCTGGTCCCTTCAGTGGAAACGCAGTGAGTTCCTCCAAAGGTTCCTAGTTCCGGGGTATAGTTCCGTTGGTCGAAACACGGTTTTAGAGACGCACCCGGGGTGTCTCACACAGATGCTGAAGGGTACTTTTGGTGAAAAAAAATAACTACGCTTTGTCACTTTTTCTGAAAGGGCTGGTATTGGACACCCTGAGATGAGAACTGAATTGGACAGATTTGAGATACTGGGAATATGACATCACTTCCTGTTTTAACCGTGACATACAGGAATTTGTTCCTTTATAACATTTTTTGCATTATCAAAATTCTTTTAATAACTTTCGGTCATGAGGGTCCATAACTTTTACATCCAAAGTTTAGTGCAGATTGGACTTTCTGTCTAGGAGGAAGACGAGTAGGTTTCACATATTTAGCACACCGTGAAGGGGAACGAGACACTGCATCGGTGACGACACTATGGGAACACCTCTGGGCGTGGCAGGGCTGAACTATGAATGAAACTACTCCACTACTCCATGACTAAGAGGAGAGTGCATGGGTGCCGGGTGCAGAAGGAAGGTCCAGACTGTAGGGAGAAGCCAAAAGTACCTGGAGATCCCCCACCCTCCTCAGAGAGGTGATAGCGAGGAGAAAGGCCATCTTAAGGGTCAGGTGCTTGGCCTCAGCCGACTCCAGGGGTTCGAAGGGGGGCCTCAGCCAGCGCTTCGAGAACCACTGCCAGGTCCCAAGTGGGAATCCTGGAACGAGTCACGGGTCTCATCCTCTGGGATCCACGGAGGAAGCATACGACCAGTGGAAGCCTCCCCAAAGGCCCATCCCTCAGAGGGGCGTGAAACTCTGCAATGGCAGCCACATACACCTTGAGCGTGGACGGGGAAA